ATTGGGTGGCGATCAGTTTAAATCAGCTGCTTAACTGGCTGTTTAAAGTCTAGGTGGCAACGCCCAATAACGCATGCCAATGCTGCCAGACAGCATGGCTAGCGGCTTTAGCCAACACTGATACACAGCATTTGACAGCACTGTGTAGATAGAAGCAGCAGAGGCAACCAAGCAAGCCATGAGAAATGTAAAAATTTTATAACATTTAAAGTACAAACAATATAAGCAATATTATAATATACCAGCAAGCAGGTAAGTACAAGCTTATTGCGTCAGCATTTGTTTTTGCAAAGGCGCAGCCCAACATATTCCGCGCTGCTGTGCCCAAACGTACACTGCTGCGTCCATTTGTATATACGCGAGTGCCTGCGTATGCGTGTGTCTGTGTGTGTGTGGGCTGGCGGCAAAAACAATGGCAGCATAAAGAGAGAGAGAGAGAAGAAAAAAACATGCTGCAGCCTCTGACAGATTGGCTCCAATTGCTTTGAAGGCAATGTCAAGAAAATTTAATATTATTCAATTTCTATTGCAATTGTCATTATTTAATTTGTTTTCTTTTCTGCGTGCATGTGTGAGCACGCTTTTGCTTTTTTCTCAGAATTTGTGCAGTCGCAGCAGCGAACTCGAAACATTTGCACAGTCTCGGAGACAACAAGAACAAGCACTAACGATCTAACATAATTTTTTTTTGGTGAGTACTTGAAAAACAACAAATGCAACTCTATGCTAAGCTTACTTGTGTTGCCAGATTCTGTTTGCCAATTGTGCTGAAGCTTAGCGCGCGCCCGAGAGAGAGAGAGAGAGAGCGAGCGAGCGAGAGAAGAGTGGAGAAATGTCGCATACTATTTTGCTGGTGCAGCCGGGCGCACGTCCAGAGACTCGCACATATTGCGACTATGAGAGCGTCAACGAGTGCATGGAGGGCGTCTGCAAGATCTATGAGGAGCATCTGAAGCGGCGCAACCCGAACACCCCGACGATCACCTACGACATCAGCCAGCTGTTTGACTTTATCGATACCCTAATTGACATTAGCTGTTTGGTCTATCAGAAGAGCACCAACACGTATGCGCCCTACAACAAGGACTGGATCAAGGAGAAGATCTATGTGCTGCTGCGCCAGGCCGCGTTCAGTCCGAATGCCTAAATCAAAATCAGCCCAAACCAAATACCAACAACAACAACAACAACAACAACAACAGCAGCAGCAGCAGCAAAAACAAAATATCGAAATAGAGAAGCAAAAACAAATCCACAAATTAATTAAGTTGTTTCCAACTGATTTCTTTGTAATAAAGAAGAAAACTAATAATAATTATTATGCTAACACGTTTAGCAGCTGTGCAACAAACAACTCGAAACATTACGTATTTTGCGGATTTTCTTTTCCAATTTCCAAACTTACATAAGCGTAGACGGCGACTGTATTGTTTTATAGGCAAATGCTCTACAAAATGATAAATGAGAACCTTAATTTTTTTGTACTGTAACAATAATATAATGTATGTATATATATACAAATGACAACAAAAGCTGTTTATGCTATTTCATTGGGCGGCACAAAAGACTTCCCATTGTAGAGTATTCAATGTCTGCTAAACTTGGAGCATAGTTTAGACGATTTTGTAGAAGAAGCAACATACATTTGTCTTTGTCAGCTTTTCGGAAATCTATAGTTTATTTTGCATTTTCTTTATTTTTAAAAAAAATATATGCATGCAATTGTTCATATATTCCTGTTGAATCTGTATATATACATAAAAGGTTAGTTAAAATTCGGCAGCTTTTCGAATTATACATAACTAGATAATACTTAGATATGTATATAAATAGTTACCCAAACACATTCAATCTATCTTTATATACTCCATTCCGCTTCTTTCATAAATCCCTTTTTTTTTGTTTCTTATATGTAAGCTCTTCCAGAAACTAGAATCTTTTGCATATATAGATTGCAACCTTCTCTTGAGCAGGAGTTTTTTTTTTGATTCAAGGCCTCAAAAAGTACGGATAATTAAGACTCGCTTGTTATTTGTATTTATAGAAATCATAAAATTTAAGAAAATATTTATAACAAAAAAGCAGTGTTCGTGTATGCGAGCGAACACTGTACTTTCTGTTTCTGCCAAATGTCTACAAATTTATTGTATTTCTATTGGGTTTTTCTGAGGAACTCTTTAAAAAAACCCCGACGTAAACTTAAATTGCGGTTAATAATTTTCGAAAATTTATTTTATGATGCATTTTAAATACATTTTATTGATGCCGTCAGCTTTTTCCTATCTATACATACATACATATATCTAATTATATAGAAAACGATAAAAAAAAAAATATATATATGTATTTACGTGGCTAATTGCGTTCACATGTTGCAATCTCTCGAGTCTCTTGGCCCAATTTTGAACGCTTCATATTTGAGCTGAACTTTGTATTTTGTTCATAAGTTAAACACATTATTTGAATGTGACAGCAGAAAATGCAAAAAATTAAGTGGAAAATGAAGTTTTTGACATTTACAAACAGAAAATGCAGTTTGAACCGCGAAGTGCAGGGTATCATAAAAATAACTGTTAACTGGCAAAATAACTGTTCCCGTAAACTTCCGACAATTGACAACTTCAAATTTAAGCGCACGTGTGTGTCCGCATGTGTAGGCGTGTGTGTGTGTGCGTGCGTGTGAATTAAGACAAATAGAACCTTTGGTCGTTTTGGCGATAGTAGCATCAGTAGCCCGTAACGAGAATGAATAACAATAGCTTTAGAAATACAACAAAAGCAACTGCAAAGCTGAAGCTGGCTCAGCAATGGCCTTGGCAAGCGTCGGCGTCTACGTCGGCTTCAACGTCGCCAGCACCAGCGTTGCCACAGCTGCATTGAACTTGGCGTGCGTTTTTTGTTGTTGTGCTTTTTGTTTTAATAATTGCATACATATATATATATATTATTTTTAATTAGCCCGCCAACTTGATGTAATAAACGCAAAAGCTAGGCTATTTGATTTAGTTGTTGAGTAGTTGATATCTAGAACTGGTTTTAGCACCTGTTGCGACTCCACCGACCAACAACAACAGCGCTCTCAATGTCAAGTTCATGCCGTATTTGGCCACACAAACGCACAGACAGACACACACACACACACACACACACGACGCACATGAAAACTGAAATGCAACCGTTGTGGCTATCTCTTTCGTTTTAAAGATTTCTTTCGTGTTGCGTTTTGTAAGTTCTTATTCGCATTACATTTAATTAGATCTATACAATAATAAACGTATATGTTAATTTAGTTGCGTTCTCTAGCTCTCTGCTCTCCCGCTCTCTTTCTAACTGTTCTTTATTCTACCTCACTTATGACGCATTTGCCGTGCTGGAGCAGCCTCAGCTTCATATTCCATTTCATATTCCAATTGCAGTTTGGGTTTGCCGCGTCTCTTTGATGTTGCTGCTGCTGCTGCTGTTGTTGCTGTTGTTGCTGTTGTTGCTGTTGTCTTTGACTTCTTCTTGGCGTCGCCGCTCAGCTTCTTCGTCGATTTGGCGGGCACTTGGGTATCCTGCGTGAAATGTTTACGTTATTTAACACTGTTTATTGAGCAGTTAGTTTTCTTGTCAAAAGCGCGGCTCGAGTTGGAGTCAAGATGCGCGCGCGCGCGTTCGCCGACTGGCGCTCGATGTTGAGCGCTTTAGAAGTAAGCAAGACGCCGCCGCAGCCGCAGTCACAGTCGCAGCGACGCCAACAGCGCTGCAGCGGCGACGCCGGCCGGCGACACAAGTGCACGAGCTTTAGAGCAGGCGAGTTGCCGTCAGCTTGACTTGTTTTCATTGCAAATTATGGTAATTAGGATTGTGCAATGATTTTGCATAAGAGAAGAAACAAAAGGAATATAAAAAGAACAACAAAGCCAAGAGTCGAAATGACATGCAAATGTCAATATAAAGTAAGTCAAGCGGCAGCGGATGACAAATTGCCAATTTGCGGGCAAAAACAAATATATACGCAGGCATATTTTTACCTCAATATCATCATTATTATCATCATCTGACTGGGCGAAATCACTGTCCATTTCCACCTCTTCGCGCTGACCCGAATCGCTCTCATAGTCAGCCTCATCATCATCATCATCATCATCATCATCTTCATCATCAGTATCCGCTTCCACATACTCTTCCGTATCGTTGAGTGCGCGTCGCAGCTCGACTGCCTCGTCCTCAGATGCATCCGCTTCCATTTCCAGCTCATGTTCGCGCTCCTCCTCGTCCTCCTCCTCCTGCTCGTCCTCGTCCACATGCTCAGCTTCCAGGGCCTTGTTAAAGGCCGTCTGTGAAAAGTTATAGATATCCTTGTACGTGCCTATTTTGAGACGCGTCAACAGCTCCTTCTCGATATGATTATCAATCTTGGCCGCGACGAGCGCCTTCTGTTCACGACGCGCCTCGCGGCGCTCGATCTTTGTGGAGAGCGGCACAATCAGCTTCTGGCGGCGCAGCTTCAGCTTGCGCATGCGCATCAGATATTGTGTGATCTTGAGGAAGCGCTGCTTATTCTTGGCTATCATGTATTTTGGCCAAAACACAAGATTCTCATTGATCTGTTCGATGGCCTTCTCGAAGTTGCGCGACAACTTGATGCGCTCCCACAATTTACTGGGCATATGCGCCCGCTCGGCCGTCTTCATAAACAGATAAATGATGCCCTTCTCCTCGCGCACCGTGGCATATTGCGAGTTGGCCAGCGGGCAGGTGCGGCGCGTGCACAGGCCCGTCAGATTGTACTCATGGCGGCAAAAGGTGCGCGTGTCGGTTCTGCAAAACGGCGTATTCACACATACAAGCTTATATTCAATTTAATTCAATTCCACCTACTTGACTTTGTGCGAGCAGAAGGTTTTGTTGATGATGCTCCAAACGACCTGTTTGTTAATAGCGGGCAGACATTGTCATTAATGGGTAACTCAATTCTACGCTCTCTACTTACATCGTCGTGCTGCATTTTGCGGCTGTTTTATGAATTAACGCTTCAGTTGTATATTTGTTATAAATTAAATTTACTTTTGACTAACACGTGCAACGTGCAAGCGGCTTCAAAATACAACAACAACAAAACACACGGTTCGTGTTTGACATTCGCTTGTCCACGTTCAAAGGCTATCTGAACAGTCGATATATCGATACTATCGGGACTAGTATGCTGTGCAAGCTGCATTATTGGTTATATAGCACGAATATAATGTTTCTGACACCTTATATTTCTGTTCTATATGTAAAATAAAAGCGCTTTTATTGATATCAGTAATTTGATTTTTTGTAAAGCTGTTTGCATTATTGAAAACATACGACATACAACATTGTTTCGCTATTTAATGTTATTAATGTGAGACTACGCTGTGCTTATGCCAAAAATCTTTTGCACACATGCTGCTAGTGCAGTGTGACCATATCAAAATAGAACATTAAAATGTTGCTGCTCAGTGCGTGCTGATTTTGCTTGCAAATAACAACGCGGCGCATTGCATACCTGGCAGCACCGAAACCTATCGATAACGATAAATCTTAAACAAATTGACATTGAATAACTAGAGCTAGCCGCTGTCACTGCCCGGTTTTTTTTAATACATATATATACATATATAGACCCTTACGCATGGTTTGTCACATTTACCTAGTTGTAGTTGATAATAGAGTAAGACGAGCATCAAATTCATAAATCGTAACAACGAAACGAAAGTTCTACAAAAATAACAATATGCAAACCCTAATATTGATGCTTGCCGCCAAAGCGGTGCCACTTTTGGCGCTCATTTTCGTGCTCGCCTTGCTGGTCTACAAATGCTACATAAATGTGCGGTAAGTTGACTGAAATCAACAATTGAAGCCGATAATAATGACGTGCTGCCCAGCTCACGCTTCGACATAACGGTCAACTGTTGGTTCTGCAACAAGAACCTGCGCGTGCCGTTTACGCAGCGCAACAGCTGGACCTGCCCGGACTGCGAGCAGTATAATGGCTTCAACAAGGACGGCGACTACAATCGCGACATCTTGTCGCAGCGCGACTGCAGCAGCCGCACGGATGCGAACAGCTCGCGGGGCAGCAGCAGCGCGACCAGAAATGGCCACTGCGCCAATGCATACTATGCGAACGGATTGACGCCGCCGCAGGAGAACGGCCTGTGCGCCCAGTGCAACGAGGCGCAGCGCTTGAAGATTGAGAAGCTGGCACAGTTTGAGCCGAAGCACGAGTCGCGCTTCGACCAGGAGCTAAAGGTCTATCAGTAAGTAGCAGCCGGGGCAGCTTTGCATTGAGATTAGTTTCACTCACGATTTGCTAACTGCAGAAACGAGCTGGAGCAAAGGTATCGGCTATGCGGCAGCTGTGAGCGGCACGTCAACAAGGTGCTGCATGAGAAAAAGAAAATGGTGCTGGGCTCCAAGTTTCTCAACTTCATAATGAAGGGCGCCGCATTGCTGAAGCAGCCGCACTTCCAACGTCTCGCCCGCGCCCAGCAGCAGCGTCGCCTGGCGCGCTATCAGCGCCTTATGAAGTGGCTGACATTGGTTAACATACTGTGCCTGGTGTGCAGCCTGCCGACGGCCACGCCCGAGCAGTTCAGCTCCATGCTGGGCATACTGGCCAAGCCCTTCTTCTTTGTCTATTCACATGCGCTGACCATGCTCCATCTGCTGATCGACTATGCCGGCGAGTTGGTGAGGGAGCAGCCCCTTGCCGCCAAATTGCTGCTGTTCGCCAACATTCTCGGCAAGCTGATGGTCTACTCGGTGGGCATGAACCACACGCAGGCAGGCCAGGCGACATTCAGCGTCTGCTACACCAGCGTCTATCCGTACGCGATGCTGGGACTCAGTTTTATAAGCAACCTAATTTATGGATTCAAACTGACACGCTACACCGTGCTGCTCGTCCTGTGGAGCATCTATGCCAAGGGCTCCTTTCTGCTCGTCGAGGCCATCGATGGCGTTACCTATATCGTGAGTACCTTCAATTATCTAAACAGCTGTCATAAATAAGCTGGAAGTCAAGTCCATCTCTCTTTTCAAACAATTCTTCATATCGAGCTATGTGATATAGTCCTGCGATTGATAGGATTCTCTCTCTGTCTCTCTCGCAGAAACTGAGAGAGAACTTTATTTTCCATCGATTACTCTAAGATTAGCTATAAGATAAAGTGGTCCGATCCCATTCAAGGCTCCACATGTTAGTCTAGACATCTGCTTAACATACGCTCGACAAAGAGTTGCGCGTGAAATGTTCTGCAGGGTAACTGGCAGTCGGTCAGACTCGACTCGTGTGCTTGAGACGAAACTAACAACGGCCTAATCCCGTCCTCCATTTACAGCTGCTGGGCAGCGTGGTGACAATGCTGCTGCTGAGCGCCAAGCAAAGCGAAAGCCTGGAGCAAATGTCCGCTGGCGAGAGCTTCCATCGGCTGTGCGCGGACGAGTGCATCCACGACGATGAAACGATCAGCATGCTGAGCCAGCAGCTGAACTGCAATGCCAGCAATGCTACCGACAACACCACCGCCAACAATCTGTCGCTGCCTGGCTCCGGCTGTCATAGTCCGCAGCTGCGCTCGCTGGCCGGCGGGCAGAGCAGCCAGAATACGGCAGTTGGGTCGGCGGCGCTGCCGCCGCCATCGGTGCTGTCCCTGGACTCGCTGCACCTGTCCACGCAGCATACGCCCATGAATCGGATGCTGGCCTCGCCGGCGCCCACCTATCACGCCCCGTCGCCCATGTATGCGGCCGGCAGCTTGGACCAGCAGGCCTGGCGCAGCAGCTATAACGCCGTGCAGCAACTGGATGCAGTGAATCTGGGCCAGAGTGGTGCCAACGGCTGGCAGCGTGCACAGTATACGACGGGCCTGGAGCAGCGGCCGCAGTCGTCGTATGGCTTTGGGCTCGATCAGCGTCCGATGACGCGCTCCACCAACAATTTGCTGTTCCCGCCGCGCCTCCAGCTGCAGCAGCAGCAGCAGCAGCAGCGCAATGGCGACATTAGCGCCTGGGTGAATGCTGCCAGCGCCAATGCGCATCCGGACCTACTGCAGGAACCGAGCACGGCCAATTTGATGCACTGCAGCTACAATCGCGATCTGTCGCGCACCTCCTCGCAATCGTCCGGCTTCGAGTCGCAGCTGGGCAACAACAATCCGGCGGCACGTCCGGATGTGCCAATGCCGCAACCCTTTTGGCCCCTTCCAGCGGCGCCACAAGAGCTGCTGCAGCAGCCGCCACAGCCGCAGGCACAATTCCAGCCGCTGAATCCGGGTGTCATGCGCGATTTTTGCTGGTCGGAGCAGCGTCAGGTACGCGTGCCCCAACCGCTTGGCTCGCCGTACGCAGTCCAGAGCGAGCTTGGACGCAGTGCAGCCGCCAAGAGCCAGAACGATTATCGTCCCGGCGACCTGCTGCGCAACTGGATGGACCGCAACGGAGTCGCCACGCAAAAGACCAGCGGCTGATTCGGTTTTGGATCGATTTCAATTTAGTTTTCGTTCTAGTTCTAGTTTACGTTTATTTCGCATAGTTAAATTTTAACGGTATCATTTCATGGGTTCAACAATAAACACACACACACACACACACACACACGCACACACATACACGGAAACGAACTAAACAAATTGAAACAAATTACTATCCTATATCGACTCAGGCATTTATGACGCTATATGATATTATAAATTAACTATATAGGCTATTTCTAGGCATCGTATAAAGTCAAAGATATCTTTTAAAAATATGCCATATATATATATATATATATATATGACATGGTAGAGGGCGTTACTTAAAGTTTATCCGAAAAGAAAATTTATATATATATATTTTTATGCCGAACTTGTTGAGCACTTATCATCGCATGTTTTTCAAAGATATCTTTAGGAACTATGAAAATATATGCAATTATGTATGAGACATTAGTTAGTTATTTATTATAGTCAGGACATTGTTAAACTATCGAGATATATATGTAACTAGATTTGAATGAATTTTTGAATGACATTAAATTTAAATATATGCATTTATATTATTTAAATCGTTTATATATATAGTCTGATGAATTGTAAAAATAAATTTGCTTTCATAACTTATTTATGGACTTCTCTTAATTTAAGACAAAAAAGGCACTATGAAAAAACCTGAAAGACTGCCTAATACATTTATATATACATTTATATATATATATATATATACGCTGTTATAGCTATATATTTAAATGTTAATAAAACAGTTTTTATCATATTTAAATTTGAAACCTATAAAAAACCAATAGCTTTAACTGTTTATTGTTTATCACACAAATACGTCAAATGCGCTCCACTGTGCACTGTGCAGCGTTGCCAGCGCAGCTCACTGAACGGGTGGCAACGCCGCACCAGGCCGGCAAAACAGCTGTGTGCGAGCAGAGCAGCAATAAGAATTTTTTTGGGCTACTGGCCAAAGCGGCAGTAAAAAGTAGAAAGAAAAAAAAAGGAAAGAAAAAAAATCAACTTTGCAGCTGCAGTCAACACGAATGCAGTTACTATATAATCGGAAGCTATATAGCAAGACGCATCGATCGATCGTGGTGACGAGGGCCATCGACACAGAGAGCGGCGACAAGAATTTGGCAACAATCTGGCAAGATGAGCAGTCAGCAGCGGACGGTGATTATTTTCAAATCGGAATCGGACAGCACAGATGTCTATGCGGAGACCTTGCTGGGACACAATTTTCAGCCGCTGTTCGTGCCGACGCTGAGCTTCGGCTATAAGAACCTTGACCAGCTGCGCGACAAGCTCCTGACGCCGGATAAATATGCGGGCATCATATTTACCAGTCCGCGATGCGTTGAGGCCGTCGCCGAGGCACTGCAGCTGGGCGAGCTGCCCGGCGGTTGGAAGATGTTGCATAACTATGCCGTGGGCGAGGTTACGCACAATCTGGCCATGAGTACGCTGCAGCAGCTCTTCACGCACGGCAAGCAGACGGGCAATGCCCGCAATCTGGGCGATTTCATTGTGGACACGTTCGACGGGTCGAGGAACTTGCCGCTGCTGCTGCCGTGCGGTAATCTGGCAACGGATACGCTGCTCTCGAAGCTGGTTGAGAACGGTTTCTGTGTGGATGCCTGCGAGGTGTACGAGACCAAGTGCAGTCCCCAGCTGGCCGAGTGCATGGATCGTGCTCTGAAAGCCGAAAATATTGAGTTTCTCGCATTCTTCTCACCCTCCGGCGTGAATTGTGCGAATGAGTACTTTAAGGCCCACAACATTGCGCCGGATCAGTGGAAGCTAGTGGCCATTGGGCCGAGCACGCGGCGCGCTCTGGAATCTCTCGGACTGAAGGTCTTTTGCACCGCTGAGCGGCCGACGGTGGAGCATCTGGTGAAGGTGCTGCTCAATCCGCAGGAGAGTCGGGAGCGCTTGGTGCGTGAACGTGAACGTGAACGTGAAATTGAACGCATGGATTTAGCATAAATTTGTGGGCATATTCAGACGATAAGTGTGTTTTTTTTTCTTTCTCACTTTTCTTTATTTCAAGTTATATTGACTATTTCTATCTATTTCTATGTGACCTCCATGAGTACAAAATTAGTGAGCCCAGCATAAAATGTTGCGCATTGTAAGTTATTTTTGATGCCAGATACTCACCTCAATTGAAGCTAAATAAATTTGTTTTTTTTTTTTTTCGTATCTAAATTTACATTTGGCCGACATTATTCGAATACCAGCTGGACGCGCCAATAGAATTATCGACTGGCTGTGGCGGGTTGTCGATTAAATACTAGCACCGTGATTGTGCGTAAAGTAAGGAGAAAGTGTTATCGTATACGCATTTTTTATGCTACAGTCATCCGATACATTCTTATTTAAAACTTCGATAAATCGACCAAATCAGATGTCGCTGTTAAAGACGGTCGACCATATCGAGTTCCAATAACTGACGATGCGCTCTGTCTATCGCTAATTGTAGCCATCCCTAATATAAACGATCGCCAGTGCGTTTTGTTAACTTTTAATTTGCGCACATTAATAAGATATATAATTACCAGCAATACGCAGCGACAATTTCAGTACAATTTGTGACAAGGCAAATCGATTTAAATATCAAATTACGTCGCATTGCAAACTCCGCCGCAGTTTTGAAAGCGCAACAAGCCGTCGTCGCATACACACGCAAACATATGCGGAGACACCCAATAGCAGCTCAGCATACTCATACACATTCACAGCTGCCGCCGGCAAGAAGCGGTTGCTCTTTTTATTCGTGATTCTTGTGCTTTGGGTGACGAAACTATCGATACTATCGATTGTGGTGCAGCTCTAGCGACAACGACAGCGAAGTAATTTTTGTGCTTTTGTGCCCGCCGCGCCACTGAAGCAGTTTTATTCTATTATTTTTTTTTTTCGTTCAACTTTTGTGTGATTTTCTGCGCATTTATAGCCAATAACAAACAGCGATAGATATATTGGTGTTTGTGAGTGTATGTTGCGTTGTACATAAAATAAAAGAGGAAAAACTCCACGCAAACACTTTGTGCCGGTGTCAGCCGAAATTGCAGGTGAGTTCAGCCAAGTTAATTGGTTTTCATATCTTACACCTTTTCAATTAAATGTACATTATGTGCAATTGTACATGTGTACCTAGTATAAAGGTTTTTTTTTAATGTGTGATCATGCAGCATTGAAGGCAATAAAAATGAAGTGGGATGGCAAGAAAGCAAGCAAGAACCGAGCAAACGGAATGAGTGTGTAACGCAATGTTGAAATACCGGTGTGCGCGGCGTCAGTGTGCATACATACATATATCACTGCATGTGTGTGTGTGTGTGTGTGTAAGCAAAGTATGAGAGAGAGCGCGACTTGAGTTAAGTTGGTTTGAGTGAGTCATTAACCGGCCTGCGCGCCGCTGTGTCAACGTTTTCTGTTTTTGGCATTGCAAATTGGCAAATTTGCTGCTGACACTTTTTATTGTCTTGTATTTACTTGCTAAAACATGCAACTAACACAGTTTCGCTGTCTGACAGCAATAGCAAAAACAACAACAACAATCTAGAATACAGTGGCAATCAGAGAGTGAGAGTGAGAGGCTTTTTGATGCATACGCTCGTTTGGCTCTCTTCGCCGCCGCTTTAAATAAAATTCGCCAAAAAGTCGGTTAAATTTTTGAAATTCAGTGCCAAGCCTGAGTTCGCCTTAAAGTAGTTAGCGCGCGCGCCGCTGTGTGTTAGAGCGAGACAATGTAAAATAATGTGAGAATTAATATTTTTTAATGCATTCTTTTTTCTTTTATTTTTTTTTTTTCTGTGGTAGTGCCAGCTGCCATAAATCACTGTCGCTGCCCGCCGGCTACCTATTTCTGCTTATTGTTGTTGTTGTTGTTGAAGTTATGCTAGGCAAAGCGTGTGAAAATTGCAGTCAATGTCGCCTCGCAACCACCGTTTTTCCAGAGTCGTCGAAAGTTTTTCCACATACACACACACACACACACACAAAGACGCTGCCGGCGTTGCGTCGTCTTGTATTGTGTTACCGTCTTTCTTTGTGTCTGCAGGTCGCTCACTTCCGTCTTTATCATGTGTCGCCGCTCATATGCACACACACATATACAAATTGTGAATGTGTTTGTCGGAATATGCATAAGTAAATATGTATGTGTTTAAGTTTGTCCAACAACAGCGTATTATCTCATTAGCATAAAGGCGCATTTTCCAGTTAGAAGTTGCCATCATCCCATTGTTGACTTTATAAGCTGTACAGTGCTGCCACCTTTTAAACGACCAAAAGACCAAGGGAAATTAAAGCAAAAAAAAAGTTACATTCTGTATTTTCCAAGCCGAAAAGTTTGCACTCTATTTCAATTATTGATTACAAAAAAAAAAAAAAAATGCAATCAAAATGCGAACTTTTTTCATTTAATGTAGTTAAGAAAAGTGGTTGATTTCCATTAGACTGTGCCTGTAGCTGCCTAAAATATAATTTGATTCGGCGTGCTTTACATAATATGGTGGGTGACATATATTTACTGGAATACCCTGGTGCTATAAATTTCCGCTTGAACTAAGCTTTTTACCCAGAATCCGGTAAAATGTAAACATCATTGAATGACAAATCTTGAATTCGGTTTTAGTGTTTTGCCATCTGGTAGTTTATATTCTTGATATAACAGTTATCGAAAAAGTCCTGGATATATACTTTGTAAACTAAAGAGTAAAAGAATCAGAATTCCCTCCGTCTTAAGATAGCCAGAATTGACGGGAAACGCAGAACTGGCATCGCTGGCTGTATGCCTCGCTGGCCTGGTTCTGCTATACACATACCCATGCACACATACTCATATATATGGGAGCTGTTTTTTAGAATTTTATTGAACCGGGACATTAGTCAAACGCTTTGCTGTTCTGGTTCTTTGTGATTTGTCCAGCGTCTCAACGGCTTGACATTCCCAAGCCATTTGTAACGGTTTGTTTTGTGGTAACCAGAAAGCGGCCGCACTGAGCAACAGAGTAGCGCAAAAGCATGAGGCGCAACAACAAAAAACCGCAAAGTCTATGGCGGCACCTAAGTTCTAATCTTTAAGAGCAACAGCAGCAGCAGCAGCAGCAGAAGACTCCCCGCATTGCTGCTATTCTCTGTTGCGCTTGGCCCATTTTAGACGCTAAAGCAGCATCTCCACAAAACGAAGAATAAAGCGAGAGAGCTCGAGAGACAGCCAAATGATTTAGCAGCGGATGCTGCGACGCTGTTGTTTACACTCGCTCACTTACTGGCAACGCCAACGCTCTCTCAGTTGCTGCGTCTGTGTGTGTGTGTGTGCGCGCTCGCGAGAGTTTGTGTTCATTCATTATTTGATTTATCGGCCAAAAGTAGAACGGTTCGTAATTAGCTTGTTGAACATGCCTAAAACGAAAAGGCGGCCAAAGCTGTGCCGCTCCACTATCTTTCTACCTCTCTCTATCGCTCTCATCAATTAGCACCTTATATTTTCTATGATTTATGTGCATGTACATTGCTGCTCATCCACTAAACTGAGACAAAACCAGTTTGTGTGCCAGCGTTGCCATTTTGTGCGAAATTTGCGTAGATACCCAACGATTTTGTTGTTGCTGTTGTTGTTGTTGTTTTTATTGGGCTGCAAAACAAAGCGCTGGGAAGAAGCAGCAGCGACAGCCACAGGTAAGCACCCAACGTTGACGTCGGCTGTTGATGTGCGTTCAGAATTCAGCGCGTGAACACGTGAGCGTGAAAAATGAATTTAAACATTATTCGTAAATCGAAAGTTTCTTTCTAAAACACCAAATTAAAAATGCATGTAAAGTTAGTTTCATGACGCTAATGGGTAAAAGAGATAAATAGCTGTTTTTATTTTCACTTTTAATTCAAAGTAACGTTGTTCGCTCCCGTGACTGACGATGCGCCCATCACTAGTTGCGCCTACAACGAACGCCACAGCCGATCGTCGCCTTGGCTGCTCTTTGAGCACTGAGTGCTGCTGCTCTGCTGCGCTTGTGTGCGTGCGTGTGTGTGTGTGCGTTCGTGTTTGTGTGTGTTGGCATTGAATTCGCTGAATTTTTGCACAGCAAGCAACAACAATCGAAGCAGCAGAAGACGCGCTGACGTCATTGACTCTGCCGCCTGTTGAATTTATTTGTGATGTGAATATTTTTAGGCAATGAATATTAAACAGAATTTACAATTTGCATTTTGGGTGCAGACAGCGATGCGACAGCGGCAGCGTCGTCGATGTCACACGAGATTTCGAACTTGGTTTCGAACTTGAAAATTGAAATGGCGCTCTCTATCTCGCCTTCTCTCTCTCTCTATCTTTCGCTCTCTCAACCTCGGAACCCTCACGTGGGCTGGCCATGAAGCGCAACAGTCGGCTGCGCAGTCGCTGCTGTCCGGCACTCTCACTCGTTTGTTTGCTCAAGCATCCGACTGTGCCGCGTTAGGATGGATTTTCATTTTTGGGGAGGGGCTGTGCAACAAGTGTGCAGCGACTTGCTATTGTTGTTGATGTTGTAGTACCGTATTTTATGTAAATTAACCAAAACGAGTTGTCGTTATGCTTGACTAGTTAAGCGGGCGCAGCGGCGCGTAGAGTACACCAGCAGCAGCGCCCGTGGTGGCGGCTGCATTACGTAACAAAACAAAACTAATACGAAACGAAAAACGTTAAGAGCGGGCGCCTGCTTTCAAATTTCAATGAGCCAGCGTTGCCACCTGACAACGGCTCAACTGACACTTGTTACGCTCAGCGATCTCTCACTCTCCCTCCACTTAGTTGTACATGTGTGCGTGTGTGTGCATGTGTATGTTTGAAGCTTCAAGTCAGCCGCGTGACTTGCTTTTTGGGCTGCTGGCCGGCCATTACAATTTCGTGGAGCATCTCTCGAGAATCGAATGCCGCTCCAACCCCTCACCGTCCGTTGCACACAGATAAAAACGTTGTGCGCTCGCATTCGCTGCGCTGCGCTGCGCCGCGACGTCGGCTCATTTCGCATTTGACTTTCGGTACGTATAGTCAGCGGACAGCGCAGAAAATAAACTGTCGAAAAAACCAACTGCTATTGTTGTTGTGTTTATTATTTTAATTTTTTTTTTGCACGTGCGCAAGTGAGAGTGCAAGAGCGCGAGCGCAGCTGCAAGCGAGAGCTTTGGCGCGCGCTTTTATCGTTTAATAATTTGTGCATTATTTGCATGTAAGTAGAAATATTTGTGCAATGCTGGAACATAAGTGTGGGTGTGTGTGTGTATGTGTGTGTGTGGAAATGGGTAAATTTTGTACTGCAGCCAACATCGTTGCTTTGGCAACGCCTTAAAACTGCTGCGCTATCACCCAGAGCAGCGGCACCGGCTGTCCAATCAGAATTGCCCTTCACCCACTTATTGAAAACAGTGTGAGAAATTAATCAACGTCAAAGCAAAAGCAAAAGCCGTCGCTCCAACTCAGGCAGAGACGCTGCGCCGTCGACGTCGTTTAGTGGGTCAAACGCCGGACGACCTCCGACGCCGCCCCAAAACGATCCACACACAACTAACCAACTTAACCCGCCCTTTCCGCCCGCTGCCCCATTGTCTTATCCACCAGATGCCTGGCGCTGTTGCTATCTTATCTGCAATATTGGACAAAAGTCGTTAAACATTGCGTGCAACACACTCGAAACGTCGGCGTCGACGTTAACATTTACGATCTGCGATCTCTTTCTCTTTCCACAATTCACCATTAAACACTGCGTGGGAGAGCTTTTACTTTTGCTTGAAATGCTTTTGAAAGTGAACAATAAGCAGCGAAGCCGACTGCGACGCTGACTGGCAAGTCAAGCAGCGCTGACCTTACAATGAGTGCAAACGCGTGCAATGCGTAAGGAGAGAGATGAATATGAAGGCGGTGCAGAGGGAGAGAGACAGAGAGTGAGTGAGTGTAATTCAAGGCAGACGTTACAACAACAGCTACAACAACAACGGTTCATTCTTGTTACTTCTTTTGTACGTAATTCTGAATTGCAGTTTATTGTAGATGTTGTACGTAACGTGTGTGTGTCACATAGACATATATTTATATGTAAATGTTTAACACAAGTATAACTGAATATATATTTATGTATATCTGTGTGATGTACATATGTATTTCGTTTTTATTTTCGTGTTCAACAGTTCTTTTGTGTTCCAAGCAATTGCAACAATTTTTGCTCAAGTTTCAGTTTGCGTTACAATAGGGCGCTTGCGACGATTCCAATATTTGTTTATCTATAAATGCGTCAAGCAATAGCCGTATATATGTATATACATTATGGCTCCACCTTTCGGAATGAACTACAATTATCACACATACCTCCTCACCCCGCCAGGCCAATCATCATTATACCATTTGCTCAGAAATGTTTCTTTTTGTAGATTGCGTATTTCTAGAGCGGCATTTTTTTTTTAATTTTATTATTTTTATCAAAAACAAAACGAACCGAAAGAAGAAACAAAATTGATAAACTATTTTCAAAGTGGTTAGCTGTGTATATACGTAATGTTCTAATTTGGGTTGTGATCGCGACCCGCCTATCTTAGAGCCGCGAATATTTCTGAAGATGCGCCCGTGTGTGTGTGTGTGTGTGTGTGTGTGAGTGTGTGCATAAATGTATTTATGTGTTGTGTAGACTTTGGTTTTATTGCTCCGCCACACAGCCTTGCACCTGCAGCTGCAGCTTCATCTGTGAGGCATTGAGTGAACTTTCAATTGATTGCAGCTGCTGCCGGATGAGTCAGCCCTAAGCTACTAACTTATACGGCATAACACACTCACACTGTTCACTGTTATTGATATGCTTTGGCGCTCATATCGCACAAAATGCCGCATGCCTCTGTCTCTCTCTCACCCTGTGTTTGTGTATGTGTGATATTATTTCCTGTGCTATCTTAAAACAGCAACAATGCTACTGCTGCTGCTGCTGTTAACTGTCTTTCCTTGCTCTCTTTTGCTTCGGCTAGCGCTCCCTCTCTTTGGTTGTTACTCGCACGTAAGCTGGCGCTGCCGCTGCCGCTGCCGCTGCCACTGCCATTGTTAAGCTTTGACGTCGTTTCAGCGCACAACGTGCTCTATTATAGAATTTGCCATTTAGTCAGAAGCAAACTTGCTAACGCGCCTGTACAAAGCACCGCACGCAGCAGCAGTATAAGCTGAGCAGAGTCTAAGTTAGCAGTTAATAGCAGCAGCTTAACCCCGCCCGCACTCACTCGCGCTCACTCGCCGACTCTCCCATTCTCCCATTCTCCCACTCTCTTTTGGGAGTCATTGAAACGCAGCAGCGCAGCAGCAGCCGCCGCCGCAATCGCAGCAATAAGCTTTTATTTAGACAGTCGCGACGGCGCGCTCGTTTTAAACAGACGCAAAGTTTTTTGTGACGTTTCGAATTCGCTTTTTTTTCTGTGGAAATTGCAATTTGAATAAATGTCGTTTTTTTTCGTGTGCTGTGTTCAAGTGCAATTTGTATGATACCAACAACAACAATAACAATTACGACAACAACAGCAGCAAACAAATTGCTTGGGTTGGTATATAAAAATATTTATTGAATTTAACACATTAAACACATGCATAGAAATGGCCTATTGTGTGTGTGTGGCTAACTTGCCTGGTGTGTGTGTGTGTGTGCGTTGTCCAGTCAACGGCTTTTCTAAATTGACATACTTTCTAAAAGCGCTAGTCAAGCAGCAGCAGCAGCAACAACAACAACAACAACAAGCAAATCTGACCAACAGTCATGGCAATGGCTAAGTGCCACAGCAAATGCCGCCGCCGCTGCTTGCAGCAGTCGGGCTTACAACGGAGACACAGAAACAGAGACAGTGCCTCATAAACAAGTTGATAGACAGCCGAGCAGCAGCAGCAGCAGCAGCAGAGGCAGAAGCGCCCGGCGGCGCGGCAGCGGCTGGCGACTTGTTTGGCCTAGCGACTAACAGTAAAAAATGCAATCATGCCTACTTGAGCTACAGCAGCCTCTACACATATTGGCTAAAATCTCCATATCTGTCAGGCTATGAAAATACGATATTCAATGGGATTACAAGTGTTGTAAAACGAAAACAAAATTGAGCAAATATTAACAGTTTTGGCAAGAGTATTTCAAATGAAAGTACCAGAGATCTAATTGCATCTCTTTTGTTATAAGTTAATATACATATCCAATAAGGTTTTGCATTCCTTGAATAACGACAAAACACAACTCAAATGATTATTTGCTTAAAACGCGATCAATTGATTGAAAATCCCAAGAAAATGTTGCGTAAAGTACTAAACCACCCATTTTCCACGCTCGCGGGTGAACTTTTTCAAGTATACTCTATAAATAAACCATCAACACAGTCTTTGCGCTGTTATAAGTAAATTGAATTATAAGGGCATAAACATAAAAATTTGTTGCACACAATAGAAAACCACCCATTTTCCACGCTTGCTGGTGGAATTTTGCTATCATACTCTACAGATAAACCATCATAACAGTCTATGCGTGAATTCTATAAGTGAATTGAAGTATAAGAGCAGTTAATACTAACTATCAAATGATGTAAAGTTAACTTAAATTGCACAACTACATAGTAAATATTAGCACAGGTTGTTTAAAATGTCTGTAGTATCTCTTCGTACTCTTTACCCCTCGGCTGTAATTATTCCATTTGGTTAATTCGAATTGAAAGTACATGCTATAATAATCAAAATTAACTCTCTTGAGATCTTCATCGAAGATCATTTAACAAAGATCACATAATATTGTAAAAATGCACGATTGCATGTCGAAAGTTATGGATGATAATTCCACCCGTTCGCTGGCATGTGAGATGAGCGTGATGAAATGCATTTAAATCGGCTCTTTAATTTATAATATTAGCTTCAAAACGTACATAACCAATATTTGTTTTGTGGCAATGAAAATCTCTCCCCCTCTTACTTGCTCACTCTCTCTCTCTCTCTTTATCGCTCAGCTGTGCTGGTCTCAGACTGGTCTAGCTCTTGTCAGACCTTGTGTTTGTGTTGGGGAGGCCATTGGCCATCGTTGGCCGCATTGCTAAAATTCCGCAGCTTTCTTTTGTCTTTTTGCAGCTTTCTTCAGCGTTGCTATGTAAATTGTTTTAAGCATCCCAACGAGCGCTCTTAACGCGCTGTTAACGAGCTGTTAACGCTTAAATGTAATGCCAAAGCAAACTTTTTGAAGGTCATACAGCGTTTTATTTTGGAAGAGAATGCGCTCAGGTGGATCTCCATAAATTAAACGCTTGATTGATTTTGACACCCTTTCAATTACATTGATTCATTGTTGTTGTTGATGTTGTTGTCAAAGCGCAAATGTCAAAGGCAAATACGCGAAACAGGTTCTCTTAAATTCATTGCGATTGTCGAAAAAGTTTACAGCTTTTTGTCTAGTCGTTGTTGTTGTTGTTGTTGTTGTTGTTGTTACAGGTGCAACTTGTTATTGCATACAAATGCTTATTGATACAGCACACAAATACATACATACGTACAAAAAGCTCGTAAGCGCCGATCGGCAGCGCTGCAGCCGCTGCTCTCTCTCTCTCTTTCGCTGTCTCGCTCTCTTTCTTGCTTTCCTTTGCACTCGGCCTATGTCGAGCTTTGCACTGCGCTTTTAAGTGTGTTGCGTCAAAGTTCAAGGTGTACAAAATACGATAAATCTTGAAACATGCCTGTTAATAACTTTATGAGCGTGAGCGTGTGCGTGTGTGTGTGGGTCGCGCTTGCTGTCTCGCTCTAACATGCTTTAGCAATCGCTTCAAACTGAGCTCATCAGCAGCGCAGCAGCAGCGGCAGCGTTTAAAAATAGTTAATTATTAATTGATGAAATGACTAATTGTGCAATTGTGATTTCTTGTCGTATAAGTCAACTGGTTTGTGTGTGTGTGTTTGTGATTTTCTTTGAATTGTTTTTTTTTTTTTTTTTCATTAATTTTCGTTGTTTGTTTTTACTTTTGCATGCGTCAAGGTAAAAATCGTCAGTAGCAAACAATTTAATTTTAACGGCGCTTGACGCTGATGAATCAGTCAAAACTCAATGACGGCAATGCCCATTTATAGCCAGCCTTACTCAGTTAGACATTCTGATAAATATCTGGGCGAAATCACACACACACACACACACACACATCCACAATAGGCAATTGCCAAAAAGGTTTGTCTCTGATTCAGCATGCGTTGTCGCCTGTTATTTTTTTCTCTACCCTGTAACCATTGAAACTGGGCTAAAAAGGCTTAATTGGTTTTGTGCTAATCTGTGCGGCACGCAGCAAGGGAATACTTGTTTGCCTGGTTAGGCAATAATTGTTTTTCGATAACTTCCATGTTGATAATATCGATAAATATCGATTTCTAAATAAGCTATGCATAACTCAAGGACTATAAGAAGTAGATGGTTTTTCGATATCTTCCATTTCCAAAATATCGATAAATATCGATTTTCAAAGAAGCCTTTCTATGCATAATTGGAGGACTTTAAGAGTTAGAGGCACGCAATTTGGTATGTAGGATCTCGTGTAATCATATTTTTTCGATATCTTCCATGTTGATAATATCGATAAATATCAATGTCTATGCAAGCCTTTGTAAAATATTAGGTATGGAGGATCTCGATTAAAGCTCCTAAAATTTCTTAATGCTAGCACTATATACAGCTTATGCTGGCTACAGGGTATCTTACCGTCACACACTCCTGGCTTGGTCGCTTTTGTTTGTTCTTGATTTGAAATTTATCTGTCATAAAAAGTGAAGCTCACACCTTGCTATTTCCTTGTACTCGATTGTTTGTTTGTGCCGCATTTTTCGCTATCATTTGACCTATTTAGCGGAACATGGCCAAAGGAAGTGATTGATTTGATGCCACATTTTAGGCAGCTGAGTTCGCAGAGCTATATAACAGAGTGCTTGCTGGAATCTAGTCTAGTAATACCCATTCATTAAGTTCCTTACGCTTTAATACTTCCCCCAAGCCCGTTTACAAGTCCATATTGCATTCATGCATTCAAGTTTCTGTTGATATTTATATCCTCCCGGTTTAATTATGTTTACGGACAGTTCCCTACAGTAGTCATCTTTAGTTGGAGTCTCAAGGAAGGATGTTAAGATTTTTGTTGCCCTAAATTCGTGTTCAATTACGGCAACTTTAAGTTTGTTTTACAACCAATAAACTTGTATATAATAGTTTTCCACCCTGAGTTGGAATATTTCAAAATGGCGTCCTATTGCTTGCCTTTCTTTTAAACGGAATGCTTGCTAACTTTTTAGGTAACTACAAAATTCCGCGCTTTTCAGTAAGTGCGCGAAGCTGTCACGCGATACTGTCACCTTTTACAACACTACATACGTCCGCTAACCTCACTTTTATGCATTTTATGCCTTGCCATTTGTTTTTTATCGAATTGTGATCCGTTTGGAAATGTTTTTCTTTTTATTCTAACAGTCTCGATTTGTGTGAGTTTAATTTGTTGCCGCTGTTTGTTTTAGTTTTAATGTTGTTTTAATGACAGCTGCGACGCGCACAAAGTCGCTGTCGCTGCCGACGTCGCAGTCGCTGTTGTTTTGCTACGTTACGTATTGCTGCACATTTTTATAAAGCTCATGTTCTTATTTTTCTTTTATCGTGATTTACATTTATGTTTATATTTCTATTTTGGCTGCATAAAACAATCGAAGAGCTACGCGTTAATCCGCAGCATGATTAGCGGACTAGCGAGGAATTCTCAATTAGTCAATTAACTAGCGATTGATAAGACAGCAGATTCTATTAACATATGTACGTATACTCACACACACACAACCACTCACTCAATGGAGACTTGAGCCAACTCTACAATTCAAGTGTCTGGCCGCAGCGACCGCGACTGCATATCGTATGCATAACCTCAAAACTCAATGTCACGCATATTATATATATAATCGCAGATATATACATTTTTTTAATAGTGTGCACGTGTGTGTTTGTCCGGCTATTGTCTATTGTCTGTGGGTTTTTCTCTCTCTCTCTCTCTCTCTCTCTCTCTCTCTCTTTTTATTGTACTGTATTTGGTTTTGTTGTTGGTTGACGATTAATATTTGCGCTAGCGTTGAAGCTAAAATGAAATTAACTAACGAGTTGCGGCTGCGGCTGTCATAAAATAAGTTGCAAATAATAAAAATAATAACAGCAAATGGCAGATGAGGCGGAGTATCATTTGTTGTCACTATTATCTCTATCTCTGTTGCGCTCCTAAGCTTTCCGTGTGTGTGTGTTGCATCATAAAATTGCCCGGCGCACAGTTTTGCATGCACAAATTGTCGTTTTATAACCGCTGATATACCTGCAAAAAATTATGACATACAAATGTACATTTGCACACGTATTTTAGACTGCCGAGCATAACGAACGTAGCCAAAGTAAAACATAACCAACATATGTACATTAAATCAAAGCTGAGCTATCAGAAAAATTCTGCTCAGCCGCTCTCTTAGTCCACGCAGCGTGCTCTTAAGCTCTGCACAAGCATGGCTGCAGTTCTGTTACTTCTG